CCTGTTATGTGAGACAAGCTGACTTGCAGGTAATCCAAGGCCAGTGAATCAATTACTGCTTGTACATTGTGAGCTTCATCCTCTTGACTCCTGGGAATAGCTATGAGGTCTGTGGAAAAAAAGCTGGTACCTTTTCTCCCAAAATGGATTGGTAAAGAGCAATAAAAACATTAGCATCACAATCTTCTAGTTCTCGTATCCTCAGGTGTATGTGGCATTTCAAAAGAAGGTTATTGGCAATGGTTATCCACTCAGCCTCTGAGCCGGCCATGTCACGGAGGCAGGTCGCCACCTGGCTTCCAACTGGGCGCGCGGTGGACGGCGTCCTGGAAGGGCCCCACAGTGCAGACGCACTGCCAAGGTGGGGGCAGTTCTTTATATATTTTGGATACTAACCCTTCGTTGGATATGTTATTTGCAAATATTTTCTCCCATTCCATAGGTTGACTTCTAATTTAGTTGATTGTTTCCTTCACTGTGCAGAAGTTTCTTATTTTTTTATAGTTCCAGTAGTTTATTTTTGCTTGTTTTCCTTGCATCAGGAGACCTATCTAGAAAGAAGTTGCTATGGCTGATGTCAAGAAAGTTACTGCCTGTGTTCTTTTCTAGGATTTTTATGGTTTCAGGTCTCACATTTAGGTCCTCAATCCGTTTTGAATTTGTTTTTGTGTATGGTGTAAGAAAGTGGTCCAGTTTCATTCTTTTGCATGTTGCTATCCAGTTTTCCCAACACCATTTGTTGAAGAGACTGTCTTTTTCCCTTTGAATGTTCTTTCCTGCTTTGTCAGAGATTAATTAACCATATAATTATGAGATCCATTCTGGGTTTTCCATTCTGTTCCATTGATCTATGTGTCTATTTTTGTGCCAGTACCATACTGTGTTGATCACTATAGCTTTGTAATACAACTTGAAGTCCGGAATTGTGATGCCTCCAGCTTTGCTTTTCTTTTTCAAGATTGCTTTGGCTATTTGGGGTCTTTCATGATTCCATACAAATTTTAGGATTGTTTTTTCTAGCTCTGTGAAAAATGCATCACCCCAAATGATGAAATTTTCAAGAGTGAGAAGGGGAACTATAAATTAGGATGGTAACAGCCATAAACTATACAAACCAGAACATTTGTTAACCCCATTTTTAGCCATAACTTCTGGTTTCTAGAAACCTACTTTACCTAGGTCCCTGTACACATTATCCTTAAAAATTACCACTCATATTATGGTAACATGAATATAGACATATTTTCAAAGTTATCAAATTGCATACATCAATTATATAAATTATGTGCAGTGTTTTGTATACCAATTAGACCTCATTAAGGCTAGGCAAAACATGCCAGTCCCGGGGCGCCTGCGTGGCTCAGTCGGTTAAGTGTCTGCCTTCACCTCGGGTATTGATCCCAGGGTTCTGGGATCGAGCCCCGCATCAGGCTCCCTGCTCCACGGGAAGCCTGCTTCTCCCTCTCCCGCTCCCCCCTTCTTGTGTTCCCCCTCTCGCTGTCTCTCTCTGTCAAATAAATAAATAAAATCTTAAAAAAAAAAATGCCAGTCCCTGTTGAAAGACAAACTGTTATAGGCCCATAACAAAGTCACAAATCAAGAGTAAGAAGTTAGAAACTTTGATAGTGATTTGACAGTCATTTTATGTTTTTATTTTGTATGCCTTTTTTTACTTTCATTTTTTCCACTTTTCCTAGTTATTTTTCTTAGTCCTTGATGGGCTGGAAATTAAAAAAAAAAAAAAAACAAGATAGGCCCTTCTTTGCATACAGTAAGAAGCGCTGACCAAGAGTTTTTCTTTCCATAGCTTCAAGGATTCTTCATACTGGGCATCATAATGGAGCTTGTCATCTGCAGACCTGAATGTCATGACCAAGTTTAGGGCATCCCCAAGTACACAGTATCCTAAGTGGAAAACTCAGATAATCATAGTCATTCCTCCCTCTTTCTGTCTTCTTCCTCATACTCAGTCTACCTAAAAATTTCTCCGTTCTGTCTTCTTTCTACCCTTCCTTGCTTTCTTATTTCATGCCCTCACATTCTCCCTCCTAGATCATTGCCATGGACTCTTTGCTGGATACTGCCTCTAGCTTCATTCCCTGCCCTCCCCCCCTTCATCAATAAAAGTCCACCCAGTCAAGTGTGTGATCCTTGGATGGGGTGTGTCAGTATACTCTTTACATGACTTTGGTGAACATCCATCCTATATGTTAAAAAAGCCATAACATAATACAGAAGCCCCCATGCCCACTCCAGGTGATCTAACCATTTCTTACTTTATTCTTTGCCTCCCTTCGCTTAACCAATGTACAGTTTATGGTTGCCCCCTACATACAACACTTTTGTCCCTGGGACTTTTGCTCCAGTTGGGTCTCTGCCTGACCTCATTCCATCTCTTCACATTTTAAGACTCACCTCTGAACATGACAGGGCTACTATCTCTTTGAGATCTTGATTGCGATTTTTTTTAAGATTTATTTATTTATTACAGAGAGAGCGCACAAGCAGGAGGGGCAGAGGGAGAGAGACTGTCAAGCAGACTCCGCCCCGAGTGCAGAGCCTGTTGTGGGGCTCGATCTCATGATCCTGAGATCACAACCTGAGCTAAAACCAAGAGTCAGTCGCTTAACTGACTGTGCCACCCAGGCACCACAAGATCTTGATTGCAGTTCTTTTGGATAAATATGCAGAAGTGGAATTATGGATCTTGGTAGTTCTCTTTTTAATTTTTTTTTTCTTAAAGATTTTATTTATTTATTCATGAGAGAGAGAGACAGAGGGAGAAGCAGGCTCCCAAGGAGCAGGAAGTCCGATGCGGGACTCGATCCCAGGACCCTGGGATCATGACCTGAGCCAAAGGCAGACGCTTAACCATCTGAGCCACCCAGGAGCCCTCTTTTTAATTTTTTGAGGAACCTCCATACTATTTTCCATAATAGCTGCACCATTTTACATTCCTACCAACAGTGTGCAGGGGTTTCAATTTCCACATCCACACTGATACTTGCTGCCTTTTTTTTTTTTCATATTAATCATACTGACAGGTATGAAGTAATATCTCATTGTAGTTTTGATTTGTATTCCCTGATGATTAGTAATGTTGAATATTTTTTCATATATATATGTTGACCATTTGTAGCACTTTTCCCTGTAGCCAAGCGTGGAAACAACTAAATGTCCAAAGACAGATGACTGGATAAAGAAAAGGTAATATATACATACAATGGAATGTTAGCCTTTAAAAACAGGAATCCTGCAATATGTGAAAACATGGACGAACTTTGAAGGCAATAGGCCAAGGGAAATAAGCTAATCACAGAAAGACAAATACTGCATGATTTCACTTATATATTTATTTCTTTTCTTACCTGTGTAAAGGTGGATGGATGGTGATTATTCTCTAAATGCCCCCTCAAAGATTTTGTTTGGTTGTCTGTTTTTTATGTTTTTATGTATGCCTGCAGGTTACACCATGTTATGGCTCCCTATTCATTTCCATAGAACATGTATATTTATTTTATATTCCTGAGAAAGAAAGAAACGGAATGGCTCTTCCTTGTTTTGATTAGAAAAGCAAAAGAAGCCAAAGTAGGGTACAGTGCTCAGTGAGAAGGAAATCTCCAAGCAATTTCCACACTGGCCAGGGCATTTGGTCAGATAAGGTCAAAATCTGAAAGTTTTCCTCATCTATTTATCAATGGTATTATCAGCAAATTAGTTATAGTGAAAGAGTCACTAAAATCTGAGATTCAAGGGGCAGGACATGAGCAGAAGGCTACTCAGCTGCATCTACCTCCTGCATGTTGTTAATAGAGGATTTACTAGATTTGCCACCTTAAAGTTAATAGGCTAGAGAAAGGGAAGTGTTAACTGTAATGAAAGGGTGCAGTACTACATGTCAGTGGATTCTTGGGCCATCATTCAAGAAACGGGAGCTTCCTCACTTAAGGATATGCTTTCCTGCTCTCCTTTCCTTTCTTCCTTTATAAAAGGATAACTGCTATTTATTGACTATGTCAACAGAAGGCAAGTGAAATGAAGTAGGGATTGAATAAGTAAACTTAAATTTAAATATCGTCAAGGAGTCTGCAGGGAGACGACATGGAATCCTTGGCAATTAGTGGTAGCAGGAGTTAGGAGAGGCAGAGAAAATGCAGATATAACAGAATCAAATCCGGTATTTAATCTCATATAATCTTTCTAAAGGTCAATTGTCTCTTAAAAATGTAACTTTTTGAATGTACATTGAAAAATGTAACTTTCAGTTCAATAAGTGTATCTTTTTAGTGCCAAGCCTGCTAAATCCATGTATAATTCTGAAGAAATGTAGCACCTTGTAACTGCAATCAAAGGAGCTTACAGCAACATTTTCCTTGTATGTGATCAGAGCTGTGTCAAAGTTATATGATAAATATTACCTGTGGATGTTGGAGAGGGCAAATAAGCCACTGTTGTTAAGAGATTTAGTTGGTAA